GACTGAAATCTTCTATTTAATTAAAGATTTTAAGAGAAGAGCTTACCGGGAGACGTTATCAGGGTGCCACACTTATTTGAGTATTTTCAGTTCAGCTTCTATCAGGTAAGTTCACTACCACTTATACATGTTTGTTCAACCAAATGAAAGGAAGAAGTCTAGTTGATTTTTAATAGATGATTTTAGACTATTTGCTATTATGTGAACTTGATGAATTATTTGATGAGTTAGTTTATTTGTTGAATTAAGTTATGTTTATTATCTGGCATAGTCAAGATCTTGTCAGTACTTTTATTTTCATATTTAATCATATTTTTAGTCAAACGTCACAATAAAAAGAACTACTATTTAAAGTGAAAGATTAAGTGATATGTACTCGGGAACAAGTTCCCACAGAGTTATCAGAGTTTCAAAGAGTCTGATATGTTTAGTGGGTCGCTCCCCTGAGCTGTCGGATTGGCGCCTTTGAGTAAAATTAGCCACAAAGAGATCTCTTCTAGAAAGTTAGCCACAAAGAGTAGTACAGAAAGTTGTTTAATGAGATCTCTTCTAGAAAGTTTCACAGAAAGTTGTTTTGAGATCTCTTTCAGAAAGTTTTACAGAAAGTTGTTTTGAGAATGAAATTTTGAGATCTCTCCAGCAGTTTTGAGAAATTATTTTAGAAAATATTTTCCGTTGAGATCTCACTCAGAATGTATTTGAGAAGTTATGTGTTAGTTATTTGTTAAGTGCCTGCTTATAGCCTAAATTTATCTATTTATAAATTGGCATAGACTTCTAGATATTTTTGTGGATCCATAGTGACTTACTAAGCGTAAAGCTTATCAGTTTTCTTTCTTCGTATGTACAGATACTAAGGGTAAGGCCAAGGCCTAGGAAGATGATGAGAGCGTGGAACGCGTGCCAAGATGAGTTAACGGGAACGACCTTGGCGGCTTTTAGCTAGATATTATTTTGTCTCAGTAATTCAGTCTTATAATAAAGAGATTATTATTATTTTATTTTATTTTAGAATTTGATGTTTGAATAAATTCTTGGATCCAGGTGGTTATCACATTTGCTGGTGATAACTAGATTTTATTGAGTTTTAACTGTTAGTTATATTTTAGTTATGTTTGAGTTTTTATCAGGGTTATTTCTTAAACAAACAGCCGTTATATTACAATTAATTTTTAAAAGTAGTATGCTAGTGTAACGTTTTCTTTAACCCTGAGAGGGACGTTACATGGCTGAAGTGGTCTGCATGAACTGTATGAGCATCTCTTCCAAGTCAGAAAGCCTCTTTAAATCTGCCCCCTCTTGTTGATTATGCGGCTCATTATTCGGCAAAGATGTAGGAATGACTGAAACATTTGCGTTCCTAATTTGTGGGGAGGACGAATTGGGGTATGCAGTTTCCCCGTAGAGATGGTCATATGGAGGTTTAATGGGGCAAAGATATAAATGGTGACATCCTCCACAGAAGGAACAAATGTTATTCCCAGAAAATCAATGAGACAATTCCTCAGCAGTTGTTGAAGATTATTATTGTGATTCAAGTTTGTTTAAGTCTTGTTTATTATTTAGTTTTATTATAAGCCTTTATGGTACTTATCTAAATGTAATAAATAGCCCAGAATAGTGAATAGGGCCATTTATAGCTTAGGCCCATATTCCTAGGTTAACCTTTTATGGAAACCTACACCCGCGTCTATAAATATGTGTGTATGGAGATTTCGCGAATAATCAGCGAATAATCTCAATAGTAATACAAATGGAGATTTCATTGTTTGATACATTGCATATCATTATCTGAATCTCTACTTTTTTTACTTATCGATGAATCCATTCTGTTGATAATCAAAATGACTGGATAACTTCAAACTGCAAAAGGAATATTCCGAAATTCCAGTTGTACACATCAGCGTCAAATAAGCGCAACAACATTTCCCAAATGCAAAATATTCCCAAGTTCACAAACCTCACAGAGGTGCTACCTCGCCCCCTCAGGCTCGTACTATTTGCACTTAGAATTGTTTTCTAAGTCTAAAGAGTGGGGGACTGGTAAGTGGGGGACTCGGGCAAAATCGACGAGCGAAAAACACAAACATTTCAACATCAACTCAGACTACAACCTCGACCCCGATTATGACACCAAATAGGCTCTAAAACCAGGCTGAGCAGTTGTTGTGGAGCGCCAAGCTCGAGCTCATTTTCTTTGTAGCGGAGCGTCGCCTTCTTCTACACAAGTTACCTCAAAGCAGAGTGTACTCTTTTTCCTCCAGTAATGAGGCGCCATTTTGTTGTGACCATGGAAAGAGGTTCCCCCGTTAGGCGTGCCAGCCAAAAAGATTGAAGAAATTACTCTCTATCACCTCAAGTGTGACTTTCACTTCAGACAGTGGGGGACTCATGTTAGAGTATATTCCCATATACACATGGGGTATCAACGTTTGTGGGTAAACAATCCCCTACAAATACTAAGTACATGGCTACCACCGAGCCCGCAACTACCAAGGTCGGTCGGTCCCTGGATGAGTTCCCAAATCATCAAGATAAGTTCAATACTCTGGCCGAGACCGAGCTCGCATTTACAGAGCTCGGACCCCAAAACCAGTTTTTAGAATGTCGAGACAAGCCCGGAACTGGAGCCGAGCCCGAGCTTGCCACATGCTGAGGTCAATGCCAAGGTGGATGCCATACCCAAGTTCGAAGCTAGCTAGCTTCCCCCTAAATCTTTATGCTATCCTTGAGCCCAACTCTACAGAGCTCGTGACCTCGGGGAAGATTATGGACTTAGCTAGCCATTTCCAGGATTCAAATTCCGTATGCACGTCAAAGATGAAGCCATTATCACTACAGATGTCTTCAGCTCACGTCACCGGATGGTTGTTCAAAGAATGTTCTAGGCATACACGTGTTGTTCGATCTCCTGCGCTGTCTAGTACAAGAGGAATCAAATTAGTTAATACGTATCCATCAAGCCAGTTGTCCATATCATCTCACCAATCAAGCCCCACACGTGTCACAATGTAATTAGACTAGCTTATAATATTTTTTTGGCCAAGTATTACATGTGTCATGATCTCCTCAAAATGGCATATTTTATACTTGGACACCAACTATTACCTTTTTAGTATAAATACCATATTCCAACCTGTGGAAAGGGGTCTGATTTTCTGTGCGCTAACTTGTTGTTACTCTGCCCAAATTCTTACTCAAATTTAGGTAGCATTTTTAGCCTCTCTTATAGGGTCACACAATAATGAAATTTAATAAAATTAATGGACCTCCCTTAGAAAATTTGAAGGAAGAATATAAAAAGCTTAGAGGTTGGGATCTTTAAAGTGACCTTGAAAAAATACTTCGTTCGTAGTGATTTTTAAATTTTGATTTGAGATTCTTTAATGTTATATTTTATAAATTATTTTTTGCAATTGTTTGATTTTTAATATTTTTATATTGTTTATCTGAAAAGGTAAGCCACCAAAAAAATTCGGGAAATTACTCTAAATAGGACTAAAAACGTTTGGAAATTTCAAAATAGGACTGTCATGTTTTTATTCCCAAAATAAGACTAAATACTGTTATGTTTTGGCAGTATCAGGCTTTAAAGATGGCAATATTTTCGAAACTTGGCAGTATTTACTCCTATTTTGGGAATAAAAACATGACAGTCTTTTTTAGAAATTTTCAAACTTATTTACTCCTATTTCGGATATTTTCCCAAAAAAATTGTGAAAGAATCAAAGAAATGTACCAACTACAATAAAAAAGTTAAAAAACAAAGCTTTGATATAATAACAAACTGATTATTCAAAAATATAATAACAAACTGAAAACAACCTTGGTTGTAATCGAGCTTAAATTAGGGCCCATCCTGGTCAAAATGTTGTATCCAAACAAACAAGTCTTGCAAAATATTTGATTTTTTCTTTTTTACTCTAGGGGGTATGGGGGCCTGGAGTGAATGAGGGCTGAAACTACAGGGGCATAAAAAGTATATGACACTACCGGGGCATGCCCCGGGTGTTACACTAGTTTAATTTATGATATAATATTTTTTTTGAAAGGTAGTTTATGATATAATATAAGCTTTAAAATTTAGAAAAAATATAATAAGGGTTAGTGTATCATTTTAAGTGATCACAATTTCTGACAAATTATTTTATTTTTATGGTCATTTTTTATGTTTAGTTTTTAATCTTTTATACAACTTTTGTACACTTATCTGTGTAAATTATTAAAATTCAAAAGAGTGTATAAAAAGTATACAAAAAGATGTACAAATAAAAACTTTGTTTTTCATTCTAAAGAAATATTTGAAACCGTTTGTTGGTACACCTCAATTTCAGCTTTATAAGTTAATTTTTTCTACATGATAAAAATAAAGTTAAAGTCATTCTTCTGAGTATTTTAGAAAATAATCAAAATTCGTATATAAACTTATGGCTTTAATTAATTTAGATAATGTTTAAAATGATATACACTCTTTCTAATTCATTACTTGGAAGTATATTTGTTTATTCTTTTTTTGTATGTAATTATGTTTTTGTACTGTATTACTATTAATTATAGTTTGATGTAGTTTAATTTTTTTCAAATTTTTACGAAGTATTTTTTTAATCAGGAAAAATATTTTGGCATAATAAAAAAAACCGAAACAAACGAACGAACCGTGGTTTCAAAATTTCGAAAATAAACCGAATAGAACTTTTTACTTTGATTCGGCATTTGATTTTGGTTAAAACCCGAAACGTTCGAACCGAACTCACCGTATTTGAGTGTTACTAAACTGCTAAAATGCCTGCACGAGTAGCTCAGTTGGTTGACTGATGAGAAAGTTGGAACATTTACAAAGATCGAAACCGCAGTGACTGTGTGGTCTGGTGTGAGACAAATTACAATCTAAATAAAAACATCCATAAAAATTGGAAAGTGGGGCCTTCAAAATTGGATTTAACCTTTTGAACACTAATAAACGGCTAAAAATAGAAAAGATCGAGATTTTAGCCTATCCAAAACAACAGCAATTTGAATTGTTAGTCGGAAAAGAAGATACCAAAGTTGCCGATTTTCTCTCCTTCCTTATATGCCTACTTCCATAAAAGTTCTTGAACCGTAGGGTTTCTTACTCATCATTTTAAATAAATGTTTACGCCATAAACCCTAATTACTTCTGTTTCTGCTTTTTTACATAGTCTATTTGAAGGCGGGGGAGAACAATCATGGTGAGAACGAAGGTGGAAATAAAGAGGATAGAGGACAAATCCAAGAGGCACACTACCTTCACCAAGCGACGCCAAGGACTATTCAATAAAGTCAATGAGCTCTGCAAGCGTTGCAACGCCGAAGCTGCCGCGATCACATTCTCTTTAGCCGGGAATGCATATGCTTTTGGCTATCCCTGTGTTGAGTCTGTCTTGAAACGTTACGATGACCATATCCAAAAGCATTCACACGGGGCTGGCGGTGAGTCTGAAGATAATTTATCTGGTGTAGCCACTACGTTAAGTAGTAGCAGTGCTGCAAGTATAAGTAGTAGTGATAGTAGTTTAAATGTAGACGAATTGGGAATGGAAGAGCTTGAAGATATTAGAATGTCTATGGATGAGTTGAAAAAAAGAATTATTGATCGAATGAATGAGATTTCAGAAACTATTCCTCTTTAATGCTCTTTTGTGGGTTGAATATGTTTCTATAACGTAGATCTTTTTATTGTTTCTTGACTCTTTTGGATTAAATAGTTCTCTATACTACCTTTTGTGGACTGGAATAGTTTTAAATGATGAACAATTTGATACGCTATTGCTAGTAATGAGTAGAAAGATTGTTTCTATTTGATTATATGATGATTATTCAGATATTCGCTCTTAATTTGATCTCTTATTAAAAAATTCTTATTCATACTTTGCATTTTGCTTGAGTTATAAATGAGACTATAATATATTTTGTGAAGGTGAGATGCAAAGGGAACGGAAGCTGCCCTTCGAATATTTACAATACCACGCACGTTCGGATCCTCTGATAATATTGCTAGACTATATAGTTCTAATATACTAGTAGCACGTCTACAATGACTTAAACTTTAAGTTTAACAATTTCGTATAAAGCTTAAAGATACAGTGACACTCTTTCTCAATCTATAGTGGCAAATCATCAAAGACAATAGGCATCACCTTATTTGGTGATTAAACCTAAACTTAATTCTTCCTTAATGCATTTTTACTGTTTGCTTAATCTTGGTTATGTGAGAAAGTTCAAGACATGGAAGGGAAAATTTGGGTCTAAACATGATAGATTGACTGAATGCTCCTCCAAGCCCATAATGAAGAGTTTGTAGATGATGCATCGTCAGAACTTATGCTGGTGTTGTCAGATACAGAGTGGTACAAATTATGAACTCCATTAAAGATATCCATCTGTTGCCGCTAAGCTGAGAAGCAATTCAGCTCAGGTGTGGCTGTAGAAATAAATGATTGGGAGTATGTCTTTCCAGAGAATGCATTGTCATACATTATTCGGGAGAATGATGAAGGGAGGAGAGGGAATATGCGATCTCTTGTGTACTCAATCTGTATTCATTCTGAGATGTGCTCTTAGGGTCATGAGCATCTCATTTGATTGCAGTACCAGTAGATTCTCATTCTGATGATGGGTTGGTTTAGGTTCTTGATTTTCAGGCAACGGCGAGGGTGGGACCGATGAGGTTCTTGTATGTGATGTCCCACAGAGATGGGTCATCATTAGATCTCTGAAAATGCTTAGTTGCTCAACAGATCTCTGTTTAATGGAATAGACATCAGTGATAGCTCCTGCAAACGTGGAGGTTTGTTATGACCAGTTTTCTTGTTCACAAAAAAACTCTTCCATTTTGTCTCTCTCGCAGTTCACTATTTTTCACCTGCGATATTTAGCTCCAAGGATATCTTTTTGCCCATATGTTCCCCAACTCTACCCATCTTCCTTTGGACTTTCAAGCACAATCTCAGCGTTGACGTTTACTTGTTTGGTCCATGTTGGTAATTCTCTGTAAAAACCTTCAGGGTGTATTTTGATTACGAAGAATGCCCGAAAGGGATAAATTGTTAAACTTTTTTATATGTTTGATTTCTTTGGAAATTTGGGAAATGCAAATGAAATATGATTATTTATCTTTATCTAAATTTACCTATATTTAGATGTGTTACTCTATAACAAACACCAGCAAGTTAAATGAGTATCACCAAATAATCTAAAATAATTGTATCGAGTTGATGTTTTCCTTCCATCTGTCATTCCTCATTGCTTTCTAGGGCGCATAAAGATACTGGTAAAGTCGCTTACACTCTCATTAGAAAATATATTTAATTCATCCGTTTCTAAATCAAGTTCACACTTTCTTTCTTGTAATATTTGAACAATAAAAATCTCTTTTACTCCTATAACAGATTAATAGTACATCATTCATAACTTACTTTCTCCAAATAGAATTATGTAAAGATTATGCCTTTCATCATACTTTTGATGAAGGGCATAATTAAAAAAACTGTTTTCTCAGAAATCCGTGAATTCAAACTAGGAACTTATTCATCAAATATTGGACCTACCTCTATTCCGAAAGATTGCAGCTCCGCTGATACTTCAAAAAAATCTTGTGCACGGCCCGAGACCTTTCATCAACAATGGTTTTACTGTTGTTCTATATTGGATTTAGGCTCAAGACAGTGTAAGTTTTCTCCAAAAGCAAGTTTCCGAATTGGGAATGAAGCATTTGAATGCAAGAATTGCTCTTTTGTAATTGGTTTATGTATTTATTAGGTATGAGGACATGCGGAATGAAAAACAAAGTCAAGTCCAGAGAAACTGACTTTTTCTACTTAGGCCAGTCTTTTGCTGAGTAAGGTGAGGTAATATGCTTGCTGTTACTCACAATTTCAATTTCAAACACCCCAAAAGTCCCTCCATTTTCCCTCTTTGAACTTTTGCAGTGGCATCTAGTCATCTACCAAAATACTCGCAGTTCTATCCGTTGACCATTTTCTAAGGGGACATGGATTGAGCATTTCCCTCAATTGCTCTACATTTCCCTATACTCTTTCTGCAACTAAAAAGTGTTGATGTAAGGATTTTATTACATGTATTGTTGAATGAATTAAAATTTGATATTCCAGTCATCATCAATGGATTAACTGATGATTTTTTCAGTCCATCCATTATAATCCGAATGTTTTCATGTATCCAATCTGTTTTCATGTCTCCTATCTGTCACCTTAGTTATGTATGATTCGGGATAGGTTTTTGTTATCTACTAGCATTTCTATTTGCATATTTGTTTTAAAAATCTATCAAAACCCTGGGTCTAGTGTATAAAAATAAAAATGGACTGGTATATGACAGTTTGCCAGGTTTAAGTGCAATTTACGATGTTTGACTAGTTATAAAGTTAATTGATCTTTGTTAATAATAAGATTATTTTTAGTAAATAAAATATACATATTCAAAAACTACATTAAAAGTTGTATAATGTTGCAATAAAAATAAAATTTGATAAAAGCTAGATATACAAACTACAAAGTAAAAGATTAAGAAGAATTTACGTTGATCGAAGAATAGTAAATGAGAACCTTTATTTGAGGCGAAAGTAGTACTACCTCCGTCCCATTTTATGTGTCTTAGTTTGACTTGACACGGTTATTAATGAAGTGGTTGAAAAAGTAAAAGTTGTGGTTGAGATTTGAATATAATAAAGTGAAATAGTGTAGGCCGCATATTTCTTTCCAAAAATGGAAAGAAAGACACTTATTTTGGTCTAAAACTAAGATTATACCTATCAATCGCTAGTCCCAAACCAATATGTCCCTAGAACTCACAATAATAACAATACGTCCTTTTTAACAAATGTGAACATGGTTTTATACATGAGTGTGTATACAAAATGTTCACACGCTCAAACATGCACAGTTCTTATTAAAAGAATGACACTTATATGACATGTAGACTTTGTGGTGATAGAAATATGACTATTTCCCACCCAAAGACTTTCTTATTAAAAGAATGACACTTATATGACATGTAGACTTTGTGGTGATAGAAATATGACTATTTCCCACCCAAAGACTGATACGTTCAAATCCTTAATTTGTTCAAATCTGCCCTCCAGCCTTCTCCGGCAACCACCGCCAGAATATTGTTGGAAAAGTTGTTAGGAAATTCATTGTAAACGTCTCCAGAATCCGTTGTCCGAAACTTTCCCAAAAATGTTGCCATGAAAATTGTTTGAATTTACTTTTGCTAGTCAAACATGCGAGACAGGGTCATTGATTGTTGCATCCACGGTTGTGTAAGTGGGAGTGACCATCACGAAGTTGGTAAAGAATTTATTTGATCGATGAGGCAGTTTCATTCTTTCCATCATTTTCAATGGAGCCAAAGACTCACCATTTTTGGCTTGGGAATATGATGGAATAAAGCAAAATGACTCGCTAAATAGTCTGCGCTTCTTTGTTATGAACTAACAGTCAGTCTATGCAATTTTCGACGCGAATTTCACTATGGGTCATTCGAAAACAGTCTCTTCGTGCTTTAGTACAGGGGTAAGACTGCGTACATCCGACCACCCCCTTACCCCACCGTAGGCGGGAGCCTTTGCGGCACTGGGGTAATGATGATGATGATTATGATAATGATGAGGCAGTTTCATTCATCAAGGTAAAGACGTTTCACAAAGGTTCGGGTCGAAAGTGACAATTGCAGAAGCTCACAGATAAACTGGAACATGACCTCATAAATGATGCTTTTACTTGGTGCAGTGGTGCTTGCGTGAACCTTCTCAGTCAACCAGATACCATATTTGTGGAGCTCATCAAAAGCCCTAAATGAATGAGAAGAAATGTCTAAAGAAAGAATCAAATTCTAATAAATGTCACCAGGAAGAAAAAGGAACCAGATTCTTCTGAGATTAGATAACTTACCTCTTCCAGGCTAGCTATATATATGTATATATATATATGGATGTTGAGTCCTGGCATTCCAAACAAGTGATCAAACAAAACCAAACATCTAAGCTCAAGTTACTTTCTGTATTATATTGATTCAATGGCATCACAGCAGAGCTACCGGGAGGTGGATGAAATCATTGTGTCTCAAAAAACCACCATAGTTACCAGCCACAAGGTTGAAAATGAGCAGCACCACTCTTTGAAAGACAAGGCGAAAGAGGTGGCAGGGAGAGTGTTTCACCACAATCACCAGACACATGAATCTGCTGCATGCATTGATTCAAACGCAACATGTGAGAAGAAAGAGGGTTTGGTGGGCAGGGTGAAAAGCCAGCTGAAGAACTTAGGGAAGAAAAAGCGCAAGGAAGGAAGCTGCGAGTGTGGCAGTGACAGCAGCAGTGATGAGAGCGGTTGCGAATAAGCAGATAAGGAGGTTCTTATGGATGTTGCTCCGTGATTCCCGCACTTCGCTAAATTCCTAAGTAACAAATATAATGTGTGTGTCAGTATGTGTGGTATCTTTTGCAGAATAAATGGCGATTTTTCTATGTATCTAATAAAAGCATGTAAATGCTAGCTGAAAGTAGTCTGAAACAGCTACAAGTTTTTATGTCATTGTTGATACCTTGAGCAGTTGAGCCCCATACCATATAGGTATTTTCTTATAGCAACGCATGCCTTCAGCTTCCAAGTATTAGATAGAATATACTACAGATTTGAACATCGATCCCAATCTAGACCGAGTATTTGTTGTAAGTTATATCCTACAACCGGATGTACCTTGAGCATGGTGCAACCGCTTCCAAGTATTAAATAGAATATAATACATAATCCAACTTCATATTTTAACACCGATCCCAATTTAGATTGATTATTTGTGTCTTGGTTTAATTGATTATCTTGATAATT